CAAAAACACTAAGAGGGAAAAGACATTTAGCCAATTTGACTGGAACCAGGAATTTGTAGGTTAAAGTAAAAAGCCAATTATAGGCCAAAATCACACAAAAAACAATGTTCATATATGTACTTCAGACAGTTCTTTTTTATTTGAGAGACCGCATTTATTAAAGCTGGGGACGGTGAAACAAGGGAGGGCTTAGGACAGAAGGGGCCATAGGAGAGAGCAGGCAGAGCTGCTTGGCTCACGGGGAAGTAAAAGTCACAGTGACAGAAGTGAACCAGGTGGGGCTGCAGTCAGCTCACCGGAGAGTCAGAGAAAATGGGGCCTTGGGCAGATTCAGGGGTTAGCCCGGGACAAGCTGCCACTGCCGTTACTCCCCTGGTTGCAAGTCTCCTGGGGACCCTTAGAGTTTAGGAGATGCACACCTGTGGGGGAAGGAAGCCTGGGCATGCTCCGGAAGAAAGCCGTTCACTCTGGATGTAGGACCAAGGCTTTTTTTTTCTTTTTAATCTTCACCTGAGGATATGTTTTTACTGGTTTTAGAGAGAGAGGAAGGGGGGGGGGAGAGAAACATCGATCAGTTGCCTTCCATACTCGCCCTGACTGGGAATCAGACCCGTAACCCAGGCATGTGCCCTGACCAGGCATCGAACCCACCACCTTTCGGTGCTTGGCCAGGGCAGGACCATGGCTGTTCCTTCAGTAGGAGTCTATTGTTTGGAGTCCCACTGGTTTTTGCTGTTTTGTTTTGTGTGGGTTTGTGGGGTTTACTTATAAAGGAAACCCAAAATGTGTATTTTTTACTTATATATCTTTATTGTTGAAAATATTACAGATGTCCCCTCCCCCCACTTATCCCCCCCTTTTTTTAATTCATCACCATTGGCTCATTTATTCCAAAGGGTCCTTATCTTTGTTCTCCATGCACATTTTAGCACTAATACACAGAATGAAACATTTGCAGCTCAAATCAAGGTTTCAGAATTTGGAAGAATTTAAACAGAATTTGTGGTGATGAAAACTCCATGTTTCATGGTGGATGTTTTCCTAAAATAAAATTTTTTTTTTAAACTGTATCCCCTCTGATTTCCAGTTTTGGCTTTTCTGTGAGTTATGAGCTGAAACACTAAGAAAACATATGAGTGCTGAATCTTACTAAATTTGTATTACTTTTTTTGTCTCTGTTATTTCACCCACATATAAGTTGAAGCAATTATTGGTAGCAAGTTGCTTCTATTGAGTCTTTCAAGTTCATTTCCATATAAACCATTCTCTTTTTGCATTCATGGTCCACTAATTTACATAATATAAATTACATAACATAATTAACAAGAAATGCTGTAGCGGCAGGGCAGCACCTGCTGAGCGGGGTGTACAGGGCACCCGCAGTGGGCTTTGTGGAGGGAACAGAGGATCCCCTTCTGATATATGAACCCCATTTTCCAGATGAGGCCACTGAGGCTCAGAGAGAGGAAGGGAGAGGGAAAGAGACAGAAACATCAATGATGCATCATTGATCGGCTGCCTCCTGCACGCCCCACACTGGGGACCAAGCCCCAAACCCAGGCATGTGCCCTGACCAGAACCGAACCACGATCTCCTTGATCAGAGGTCGATGCTCAACCGCTGAGCCACGCCAGCAGGCCGGGCCTTTTGACCCATTTTTAATGAGTGACAGAGCATGTTAAGGTCAGAGAAGACTTTTATGAGGTGATGCTTGGGTGGAGTCGAGAAGGTAATAGGAGAAATTCAGGCACATTAGAGGAAGACCACACCAAACAGACAAAACAAAGGCAGTCAAGTTCACACAGAAGGTGCAGGATGCAGGATCTGACAGCAAATGTGCCTGTCTGGACTGGGATAGTTTCCTGTGTTAAATCATTCACATTTCCTAAGGCTACTGGAGCCACTGGGCAACTTTTGTGGGAGGAGCAACACAATTCAACTTCTGTTTTCGAAAGCTTGTTGCCACGAGGGAGGGACAGTGGCCCAGAGTGAAGGGACTGCCTAGGAGGCCACTTCGGGGAAGGAAAGGGGACAGGGATGAGGACCCGAGTGAGCGAGCTGGGGACACCCTCGCTGCTGTTCTCTTCCCACTGGGTGCCCTCCCTTTGTCCAGTGTGCGGGGAAGGGTGGGAGCACTGTCTCTGCAGGTCCTGCCATCCCCACTACTGGCTTGAAGTAAAATGGTTTCTGGTCATATCAGTTCCTGCCCTTGTGGGTTACACACACAAAAGGAGTGAAAATGGGCAGCTAGGTGCCCACAACCATGTGGGTTAAATATACTTTCGTGGACTGGCCTAGGAACCCATTAAAACAGTATGTTTCATTTGTATAATTATAAAGAAAACTAAAGAGCATGGTCTAAAAGTTGAAAATAAAATGAGTGTAAACATATATTTATCCACTTGGCGGCATCAACTCAAAAAAGAAACTATTCCAGGCGACTGGAAATGTCCATAACCGAACTGTGAACCCAGAGTGGGGCCTTAGAGATACCCACCCTCAAAACCAAACTATTTTCAGGTAGCATATTGTTGGTAGTAATGTTGGTATTGATGTTCTGAGGCTTCAGAGTGGACACTTTGGGATCATGCCAGTAAGTAATCATGTGATATGTTAACTCCATCATTCCTAGGACTGAAACTAAGCTTCTTCACATCACATAAGAGACACACACATCAAAGGAATTAAGCAAAAACTCTATAGCTCTGAATTTAAGGGGGGGGAGGGGAGTTGGGCATCGGTATTAATTCACGATGCATTTTATCTTAATAAAACATGCTACCTTGGTCCACAAAGAAGGCCTGGACACCTGGCACCCGGCTCGGTAGCTTCCTTGGTGCAGCGCCGCAGGCCTCTGTGAAGAAAGTGCTACCTTCGGTCAGGCAGGGAATGCCAGATGGCCCTGGAGCACCTCATGCCACTCAGCCGATGCCACCAGTGACAGCGAGGTCACATCAAATGCACCCAGGAGCTGTTAAGGAGCCTCTCACTGGCTGAAAAATGGACAATTTGTGCATCCACAGGAAAAATCATTTCAGTGGGTTGAAGTGACTCACGTATGTTTAAATCTATTAACTGCCAGTCACACGTACAGAAAGCGTTCACCGTGGGAGGGCTAGTGAACAACGCAGCGTTTTGACAACCAGACTATCAAATGGCAGCTGGGGAAGTTTCTATCTATAGCAGTCTTTTACCTGAAAAATGAAGGGATCTGAGAATGACAATATCATCATTTCTCAACCCTAATTAATCGATGGATCAGAGAGACACCAGCAGGATGTGAAACAGGCCTGCAACCCTGAAATCCCAACTGAGGGAAACCCTGCTGAGGAAGATGCTTCAGAGAGTGGACTCCAGGCCAGCAGCAGCATCGTCCTGGAGCTTGTCAGCAGAGCAAGCCCTCGGGCTCCACCCCGGCTGGAACGGAACCTCTGGGTGGAGCCCAACACTCTATTTACAGGCTTCTAGAAGATTCTCACACACTCCAGTTTGAACTCCACGACTACAGGTAGGAAGCGACTCACAATGCTATCAATCAATTGCAATATGGCTATTACTGGCTTCCCATTCAAAAACTGTAATAACTTTTGATATCTATAGACAACTTATGATATCAAAGAATTGTCCATTTTTTAGGTGTGTAAATGGTATTGAGATTATATATATCTATATCTATATATATGTAAAAGCCCCAAAATATTTAAGGGATTTGCTTCAGAATAACATGAGAGACAGAGGCTGGGTGGACAGAAAGACTGATTGTGAGTTAATAATCGCTCAAGTTGAAGAGCAGGTATCTGGGTGTTTTTTATAATATATTTTTAAAAACTTTTATTTGAGAGATTTTTTTCCATTCTGAAAGTTTAAAAAGCCCAACCAGGCGTGGCTCAGGGGTTGAGCATCGACCTAGGATCCAGGAGATTGAGGTTCGATTCCCAGTCAGGGCCCATGCCTGGGTTGTGGGCTCGATCCCCAGTTTGGGGCGTGCAGGAGGCAGCCGATCAATGACAACTCTCTCATCATTGATGTTTCAACTCTCCCTCTCCCTTCCTCTCTCTGAAATCAATAAAGATATATTTTTTTAAAAAAAGTTTAAAAACTCAAAGGAAACAATAAATTAAAACAAAAGATTGCAACTTAAGCAGAATTAATGGTACTTTTACTGGTGTTGAAGGGCAGCATTGAAAGTGTGGAGTATACTGAAACCCCTACTACACACTAGTTTGATCTGGCCGTAAGAGGGTTTTGGGTGCCCATTTTAAGTCCCTGACCCACTGAAGACGATGACAGGACGACGCCTGGTCAAGCGCATGAGCACCCACACACATCGCTTCCCAGTTCCCAGCTGGCCTAGATTCTGAAATGCTGCGTGTTGAGGATTCAGATTTCCTGCATTGTTAAGACAGTCACTACCACAGCATATTATGAGTGCGCCCTGGGTAGCCTAAGGCAGGTATTAATAATGCTTGATATTTTTTAACTAGAAAGGGGACATGCTATCCTTTACACAGGCAAAGTAGCCAAGTCAGGTGTTCTGAGAGAACACGGGCTTCTCTGGCTTGGAATGCCAGTGCCAATAATCCAGTGATGGTCTGGTTTGGTGTCGTCCAAATGACCTGTCTTTGTATTTTTTCAGGGCAAGTAATTAAAAACTGCGAGGCTGCAGTAGGTCTTACTACCTCCTTGAGTTGACGCTGCTGTGATGAGACAGCTCTATTCTTCTGTATGACATCCCTCCATGGGAATCCAACAGACTGTACTGGGGAGTGGGGGCACTGCTGAGGCCCCACAGCTATGTCCCTGGGAGTCCCTACTTCCCTTCCCTCTTAGGTTTTCCATTTCCAAACAGGACAGCTGTGTATTTGGAAGATATGAGGCAAACATAATACAACAGGGTGGTAAACACTGCATTTTAGCCCTTGCTGGCCAGTGTTTACCTTTACATTCAGATCGCTGAAAACATGCCATTAGAAACATGGAAAAATGAGACAGCTCTCTCCTTGTAGGTGAGACAGTGAAAATTTTGGCCTCTTTATTGATCACAGGTCATATATTTGGCTTGAAAAACACACGATTAAGAGTCATAACTAACTACAGGAAAACTAATCTTTCCTTTCAGGCTGCTAAATGCTCAGGGAGAGCTGACTTCCACGGTGCACAGCAGTCTCGAGTCGGTCCCACGAAAATGTTTGTGTAAACAAAACAAGAAGACACTGGTTCTCATCACACAAACGTCCCCACCTGTCTAATGGGCACGCCTACTTAAAACATCCCTCTGTGACTGAAAGCACTGTCACCTCTGTTTGCTGGGTGCCATTTTCATTCCAATCACATCCATAAAGTTTAGAAAGAAAGCGAGAAAGTGGTGCGAGTGCTAAGGCTGCCTATGGCTCTTGCTACAAAATAGTTGCTCATCTAATTTAAAGACTTTAAAAAAGACAGGAATTACAGGTTCTTCTTGATCTCAGGAGAACTTCCCAGAAGGAGGTGGAGGGCCGAGGAAACCGCCCGCCTGTTTGGTGGCAGCTCGTGAAGGGGCAAGGCCGAGAATCTTCTGGATGTTCTGTGAGGAAAACGGAATAAAAACTAGGTTTTAATATGAGCTACAGAAGAGTGTTTTACACAGATCCCGTAGGAAGAGAAGCCATACAGGTTAAAAGTACTGTTAGGGCCTAAGGTGGGATGAGTAGCACTGTGCTATGTTTCACAGGCTGCAGTGTGCTAGGGGTCACACACAGAGCCGCTTACCTGATGGGACTTCAGTCTCCAACCAGAGAAGCTGGTTTTGCCAAGTGCAGAATCATAAAAAGAGGTAACCTTTATTTTAGCACAGCGTTTAAAGCACACTCATTAGCTATTTCCCGAGGAAAGCCTTCTCCTTGAGTTGGGTTTTCTGCATGGATTTGGTCATCAGTGTACCATCTAAGCGGAAACCAAAATATTCCAACTCACTTTCTTCAAAGAAGTGAGAGAACTTAGAATCCTACAGAGTAACCTGAGTCAGGACCCTCCTAGATTTTGAGCACTGCCCTCAACTTTCTCAGGTATCTCACAGTTTTTTAAATTCATCTTTATTAAACTAGTTCTCAAAAAACCGACTATTTTATACTCAGATTTTATCAGTTAATATACATTAAACTAAGTTACATAAATCCAAACACAAGTGAAACCAGCATACGCCAGGGGATAAACACAATCCCGGAGGATGACTCAGTGTGGGAGAGGCGGGGCAGGCAGGGGCTCCCAAGTGATGGGGGACAGCATGGCCCGACTAACCGGGACTCTTCGAGAGGGAAGGGAGGGGCTCACGATGTTAAGAAGGGCAGCAAGTGTCAGCTGCTTCTACCGAGTTTAGAAGAGAGGGATCCTTAAAGATCACCTGGTTATCCCTGCTCAGTTCTTTCATTTTGTATGTGAGGAATTCTAATTAAAACCTGGAAAAGGATCATGGTTTGTCCGAAATCACACGGTGAAATGAAAAGCAAAGTTAGAATGAAAACCTGTGTGCTCTGATTCTGAACCCAATGGGCTCTCTCACCAGCACCTCCCACGTGGATGTTCTGGTCTCAGAACACACTCCAGCCCTAGGTGAGCGGGTCCCCACGTCCGCATTCACACTCGACAGGCACTGAGGGCCAACTGTGCGCGAGGCACTAAGAGAATGCCAGAGCCAGGCCTCCCGGCCTTCATCCCTAAGATGCTGACCCACACAGATGGAGTGTTTATATATCTGAGATAACCGCTGTCGGATTTCAGCAGAATATAACAATATGAAGACAACCTTAAGAATTCATTTAATTATACTGACAGTAAAATACTTGCTTTATTTTATTCACAATACTACAGCTCATGCTTTACTTTAAAAAGAAATCTGGAAACAAGTTAAGACACATACTTCGTAGGTCAGGCTACTTCTTAGTAAAGATGGAGAATATCTGTATTGTTTTCATTGTAAGAACAGCTCCATATGTCCACTTCTAAAAAACCCATTGACAAAACAATGAGAAAACCCAATGATACAATGTCCCGAATTTCCAATTGCTTTCAATCAGTAAATATTTATTAACCACCCACAATGTATCCAGGGTTAAGCAAGGCATTATGGGAAGCTACTTTAAAAATAAAATGTGAAATAATAAGATATTACCAAATTAGCTACTGATAAACACACTTGTCTAGTTAACAAACACGATGATACGGCCCAGACAAAATAGACCAGGCATCCTTGCTCGGTCATTTTGTAGAGATGGGGTCAATTAAGTGAGTCTTTATCATTTAGAGATTAAAGGCCAGTGTAAAACCTCTGATACCCTCTAAGTTAGAAGTTCACTGTGATTTAAAGAAGACATCTGAAAGGAAAGTAACAGAAGATATTTTGAAGGGCAGACTGCTGTCAGTCTCATTTACGAAGTGAAAACATAAAGGGCTATGGAATGCAACAGATCGAGATCGAGAGCTGCTCCAGATGGAACAGCGTTAACAGGAACCACGCAGCCACAGATGTCAGCAGCCAGGCCTGGAGTGCAGGGAGCCCGGCAGCTCCGTACTTTGTTTCCCTTGTGACCCTTGCCAGGGGCTCCCTTCAGGAACACTACACTAAGCTTATCAGTGCTGCACTGCTCAGGTATTTGTATTTTAATACAAATTGCTCTGCGATTTCCTTTAGGGAAATTCTAAACAGTCTGTTTAAATTCCTACACTGTACTCTCACAAACGAACCCAGGTCTCAGGATGGTTTTTCTTAGATAAAATTTCCCCTGCTCCCCTGTCAGTAAAGTCTTTTCCTGTAAAACACATGGAGGAATTAACCAATGGCCTCTGCATACAAGAGACCTAGGTTACGGGCCAGCATTACTGTTCTCTGCAGTGACACTAACAGCCTACGTTTCTATGCACTTTCAAGTTCACGAAGCGTTTTAAGGACAAGACAGCGGCCCTCAGTCATCCTCACCTTAGAGATGAGAAAGTGGAGGCAGAGAGAAGCCGTAAGTCAGGACGTGAACTGACATATCACCCAAGTCCAGTTTTCACCTATGAAGCCACCTCTCTCTAATAGGTCTTTATCTCAGGAATAAAACCTTATAGCAGGCCTGGCCTGTTTTATTTTATTTTAAATATACCTTTATTAATTTCAGAAAGAGGAAGGGAGAGGGAAAGAGATAGAAACATCAACGATGACAGAGCCATTGATCGGCTGCCTCCTGTTGGGGATCGAGCTTGCAGCCTGGGCATGTGCCCCGACCGGGAATCTGACAGCGATCTCCTGGATCCCAGGTCGATGCTCAACCGCTGAGCCATGCTAGCTGGGCTGGCCGGTGTTTTTTTTTAAATCACAATTTTAAAAACTATGTATGAGCACACCACTGTGAACCTAAAACCACTCTAAACAAAGTCTATAAAAGCGCATTTAAAGAACACACAGAGAATGACAGTTGTGTTAATAATGGCTGAATGCCCTTTTCTCACCCCTCGTCTCCATCTTTTTGAAATACCACTGAACAAGATAAAATAAAGACAAGTACTTCTGTGACGCCATCTCAGCTGCTAGGCACTGTCTTAAGCACTGCACATGATCTTCCTATTTACATCCTCACAGCTCCATGAAGAGGCTGACAGTGCGCTGACTTGCAGAGAAGACTAGCTGTCCGTCAGTACTCGCGGAGCATCACACCACGTAGTGGGGACCTGAGTACGTTACCCCCTACATCTTCCAGTAACCTCCTCCATTAACCTTGATCTGACTGTGGCCTACAGCCTCTCAGTTCTCCCCTTGGAGGTCATTTTCACAGGCCTACTTAGTTAGCAAGATTTAGTTTAGAAATATGAATTTTGCTAGGAGACAGGAGTTTTAATATGTTATAAAGATGATGTGGAAGAACAGTACTAAACACAGGTTTTTAGAAAAATAAAAAGCAATTCTTTTGAATTTCTGTCCAGTTCTATGTAACAGAGTCATAACCGAAGAGTATATATCAGAAGGGAAAACAAAGGAAAAACATTTTCCCGTAATCACGCCTTCTATTGGCAGGAAACTCAGAAAAATACCACTGCAGGATTTGTGTTCCTTCCTCTTTGCAAAAGATAAGAACCTGTGATGAAGAAAAGGAAGTTGTTGGTTGCTCACTGGACATTTTGGGAAGAACCAGGTCACTGGCAATAAACACATTCTGCTAAATTGTATTCCTTAGTCATTTAGCTAAAATGACTCAGCGGTGGAAATCATCAGTTCACTCTTTGTTTCTCTGGCAGCTGGCAGTCAGACTTCACTTACAGTTGATTGCAATTTCTCAAGTTCCCATAATAAAGAATGCAGGGGATGCAAAAAAAAATTCTGGACCTAAAAAATATTAAATCAAAATTTAAAAATCATTGGATGGAGTTGGGGTTAACTCAGATTAAGGATGACAAAGGAGTCAGTACCTCAACAACAGATTAACAGAAATTATCCTAAGAACAGAAAGAAAATATTTTTAAAAATTAAACAGCCTCAGTGTCCTATTGGACAAAACCAAAAAGACTAACATGTAACTAGAATCACAGAAGAAGAAGAAAGAATGGGGCAGAAAAAATATCTGAAGAAATTATGGCTGAAATTTTCCGAGATTTAATGAAAACTTAGCAGGTTAAAAAAAAATTTTTAAACCCTACAGCACATCATAGTCAAATTGCTGAAAACCAAACTCAAAGAGAAAGTCAGAAAGCAACGACCTTATCTACAGAGATGCAGAGATACGTCGACTTCTCACGTATCAGAATAAATGGAGGCCAAAAGATAGTGGAGAGGCATGCTAAGATGCTGAAAGGAGCCCGGCTGGGCGTGGCTCAGCGGTTGAGCATTAACCTAGGATCCAGGAGATCATGGTTTGATTCCTGGTCAGAGCATACACCCAGGTTGCGGGCTCCATCCTCAGTCAAGAGCGAGGAGGCAGCCGATTAATGACTCTCTCTCTACCTTCCTCTCAATAAAGATACATTTATAAAAAATCTGTTTCATAGAACCGACCCCCGAAGACACTGTTCACGGTATGTTTTTCTCTCCAACACCATATTGTAAACACGCACAAGGGACCAATCACACTCTGGTTACTGTGGGTCTGGTTCCCACTGGTTCCACAGGGGAGAGAATCTTGCTTTCCATCCCGTATGCTCACATCACAGAATTCCTGCCATGGCGGACAGACTGGCATCCATGCTCAGCAATGACAGGGAGCATCTGAATGAACCTGAGCCCACGCACTGCAGCAGTTCACAAAGGAGCAGATTCAGACGATGCCTGAACACTCTGCCCCTCTCCATTAGCCGTCAGCCACCACTCTCGGGACCTCATGCATCTCTTGCTGATGCGAAGTCCAGGACTACACATGAAGACACCCTGCCTGTAGGTGAGCTACGCTGGCATTAAGGACTTATGTTCTAAACTTAAATAAAGTGACATACATTAATGACGAGGCACAGGAGATGGCAGGTGGTCCTTCCATCATTCTGATGACTTGAGGATATATGGACATGACATCATCAGAACCTGTTTTTACACATAGACAAGGCCTATCAAAACCCTCAGGCTGCCCTGGGAAAGCCGAGAGTGTGAGAGGAAAGTAAAACGCATGTGTTTTTATCACCATCCTGACCAATACACCTATTTGAAGAGACCATGTCAGATTCTCACTGATACTTTTTCAGAACCACTAATCCTTTTTGCTTTCAAAGAAAAGACAGCTCTGTTCATAGCTTTCACAACCTTATGAATTTACAAGAATAGACCAGTTTCTGCTCTGGCTGGTTTGCCTCAGTGGTTAGTGTCAGCCTGCGAACTGAAGGGTCCCCGGTTCAATTCCAGCCAAGGGCACGTACCTCGGTTGCAGGCCTGATCCCCAGTTGGGGTGAGTGCAGGAGGCAGCAAGTCGATGCGTCTCTCTCACATCGATCTCTCAGTCTCCCCTCTCCCCCCCACTTCCCCTCTCTCTGAAAAAGCAATGGAAAAAATATCCTTGGGTGAAGACTGAAAATAAAGAGTAGACCAGCTTCCCCGGGGTGTTTACCAGGTGAGTCTGCTTGGATTTCCCGAGGTGTCGCACACTTCATACGGAGGAGATTGCCATTCACCCAACCCACTCACTCATAATGGGGGGAGGGGGGTAAGTACCTTAATTAAGAAGCTAAGGAAATGCTCGTCACTATCGACACCTCTGAGGGAAGCTGGCAGGCCTACCATTTCCACCCTACGAATGCACACAAAGGAAATAGTTGTGATGTGAAGGTCAAGGCAGCTAATCGTTAATCACCAGACATTAAGGAAGTAAACTAGAGGAGAAAGATAAAATGACCAAAGGTAATTAGATTTATTTTCAGTTGATATGACATATCATGTTTTAATCTGTGAAAAGGAACTCAGTCCTATCTTGGGCTGGGAACAAATATTAATTTTAAAAACATGCCCAGGATGTGGGGGTGGGAGGGGCAAGTGTGGCCGTAAGAACAACTGTTTACGTTGTAGACCACTGCCATCTGACTGTCACGCATGGTGAGGCTGCCCGCTGGACCCCAGGCCACCTCAGTGAAAACAGAGGCTTAGAGAGGCTACATGACTTCCAAGGACACTCAGGCTAGATGGCAGCAAGATTCAAACCTCCCACTGCTGTACTTCCTCAACCTTACAATGCACTCCTCCCTCTCCCCACCACCGTAAAGAAGAAATGGGTCGTAAATTCTGTTATAGTGTCATCAGCATAATATTATTTTCCCTGAAAGCTCTTACGTCAGTAGTAAACCATATACCCAATACGCCCTAGGAAGGGAAAATTATATGTAATAGATCAAAATCAGATTCACAAACAGTGTTTAATCTTTGTTTAATCTGCTCCACTTGGAATGATTAGCGTGACAGAAATAAATTTAAGTGTACTTCTATGCTCTCCTATTTGATAATGATTTTTTTAAAAATGAAGCTACAGGTGGGAAATTAACCTTTTTATTTCAAAAGAAACATAAGCCCCATGAGGGCAAGGGCCATAAACCCATTTTGTCTACAAACTACACAGAGCACCCAGCACAGAGACTGGTACATGTACGTGCTCAATTTTGTTGAGAGAATAAATATACAGATGAACCTACCAAGAATTATTATTACTGTGATCACCCATTCTCTTAAGGATGTGGGAAATGACAGAAGCAGATAGCTACTCTTAATTCAACCTAATACCACCCCTTCTTCGTAACAGGAGCGTTACTGCTATGATGGGACCCAGAGCTCGCTTGTCTAATTAACCCTCACTTGCAGGCAGTAGAGGACGTGGGTTCTGGTTGATCTGCAGACATGTTATTAATTGACACATGTAAGTGTGGTCATAGGCAACCCGGCGATAAAGTATCCAGTCCCCTCAGCAATGACACTGTGACACTTTAAACACACTAATGACACTAATGAGAAATTACTGTATTCTTTAAAAAACGGCCTCAAACTGGTGAACTGAAGCCTCAGATGAACAGTGCTGGGTGAAAAGGTGCAGGGCAGTCTGGTGATCCCTCCAGAAATTAACACAGAAACTGCACTGTGACTCAGCAATTCCACATCTGAAAACAGGAACTTGGACATTCAGACACCCGCGTTCTAAGGTGGAAACAGCGCAAGTATCCATGGACAGGTAATGGAAAAACAAAACCTGGTCCAGTCCATCCACACAGTGAAATAGTATTTGGCCTTAAAAAAGGAAGGAAATTCTGAAATGCTACAATGTGGATAAACCTTAAAACATTGTGTCAGTCACAGAAGGACAAAAATATTCTATGATTTTATTTATATAAGGTCAAAATCACAAATAGGGGGAGTCAAATTCATGGGAAGGGAAATAGAACGGTGGTTGCCTGGAGCTGGGGGAGGGGGCATGGAGAGTTAGTGTTTAATGGGGAAGACTTCCAGTTTGAGATTAAAAAGTTCTAGAGACAGAGAGTGGTGATGGTTGTACAATAATATGGAATGTACTTAATGTCACAAAACTGTACCGTTAAAATTGGTTGCAAGAGTCAAGTTTACATTATGTCTACTTTACCACAGTAAGCAAGAAGATTAATAGCACTGAAATTACACAGGTACTTTAAGGCACACAGACAATTAAGAAATCACTACCTTAAGAGTTGCAGAGGAGCCTGGCTGGCATGGCTCAGTGATTGAGCATCAACCTATGAACCAGGAGGTCACAGTTCGATTCTTGGTCAGGGCACATGCCCGGGTTTCGGGCTCAATCCCTAGCAGGGGGCATGAGCAGGCAGCTGATCAATGACTCTCATCATTGATGTTTCTGTCCCTCTCTCTCCCTCTCCCTTCCTCGCTCTAAAATCAGTAAAGACATATTTAAAAAAATATTTGCAGAAAAAATATTAGATGAAAGTAACAAGAACAACACAATAGTGGGGTGAAGGCCTGGGAGGGTGATGGGGGGTCAAAGGGGAAAGAAAGGGGGACATCTGTAATACTTTCAACAATAAAGGTAAGTTAAAGAGAAACAGAAAATAACAAGGACAGCTATGAAGGAAGGGTCACTGAGCGAAAGACACTGAGAAAACCGTTCAGATTTACTGCAACGCAGGCTGAGCGACAGTATGTTCGTGAAGTGAGTAGAGCCCTGAAATGCAGAGTTCCTGAGCCCAAGACTTTAATTACCCCTCTTGCTGTCTAAAGTCCCACCTCAAAAGCACTTCCCTCTCTAACCTTCCTGCCTGACCCTCCTGCTGACAGAGTGCGAAGTCTGTCTTTGGGTCCCCTCAGCCCTGTGTACTTCTCTCTCAGCCTCCCTCATTTCCACTGTGATACCTGATCCTTGTGGTGGCTTTATCTCAACTGTGAATAACTTAAAGTCACCAGCTCATTCCCCTCACTTTTGTTCCTGCAGTGACAAAGGTGCTGGTGTACAAATAAGAAGAAATCAGGAGGGAAGGACAGCCTCACTCCCTACTACTTTGGACATCTGCCACGAAGAAGGAACCTGAGAGCTTTAAGAACAGGGTGTGGAAACCACGTCTGGTTTCCCAGCGCCTTCCTAGCCCTAAGGATTAGTGATCTGGACTAGACACATTTAAAGCAGCTCTAGCTGACACACTGAAGTCCTAAAACAAGCAACTGAAAGATCTGCAGAGCGCCAGGCAGACACCTCCAGTCTACAGAAGTAAAAGCTAATTTAAGGGATGGCAGTGAGGAAGGACACACAGTCACGTACTGCTTAACGATGGGAACACATTCCGAGAAAGGCGTCCTTAGGCGATTTCGTCGTCGTCCGAACAGCACAGAGGGACCTTCCCAGGCCAGATGGTACAGCAACTACGCGTCTAGGCTGTGTGACACACCAGCGTCACACATGCGGCCTGTCATCACCCAGATGTTGTATGTGGCACATGACTGTCCACATTAACAGTGGGTGTGGTCACTCACCTGTCGGATGGACATGGTGCAGAGAATATACAGGAAGATGAAGGAGCAGTCTGTGGTGTCATCCCCCAGCAGATTCCGATGTGACAGTCCTTGAATGTAGGAAAGGGGGGTAAAAGGGAGCTTTGCCACCACTCTACCATCAAATCTGAAAAGGAAAAAACAAAGAACTGTTATTTTTAGAAGCCTGACAAGCTTCTTAGTTCCCAAGAAGAATCTGGGACAGAAATAGAAGTTTAGGTCCCTTGATCTTTAAAAAACAAGAAAGGGTGATATTCTAAAATGAGGCCTGAAGTACAGGGAGGTAGGAAGGGTGTAGACTGTTCCCATTAGTCTTTTCTAAACTAGTGACTCTTCTTTCAGTATTGGGATCCTGGCAGAAGAATGTATTTGAAGTCCTTCCCATAGAGCAGCCTTTCAGACGTGTACGTGTGCGTGTGCGTGTTGGCTGAAATTACAAGGCTGTTTAGTACACTGTGTTCACAAACAATATTAAGGAAGGGAATCGCATGACTGTAAGGCAGTATTACTGCTGGTAGAAATGGCCAGTTATTTCCTAGTCCATCTATTTCACGAGCACTCACATGCTCAACTTCCAGCAAAACAGAACTCAGATCTGTTGCAGTAATCACACAGTAAAGCCAGAGCCAGTAAGGACAGCCATACCCGCACACACCCATACACCCCCCCACCTACACCCCCCACATATACA